GGTTGTTTTGTAGCGGATTGCTACGATAGTAAAGCCTGCCCGGCTCAGAAGTCTCTATGGCAGATTCTCCAACATCTTGCTAGACTCCCAGAACAAGCTAAGCTATGGCCTAGCTATAAAGGAAACAGACGTGTAGCATGGAGCACGTTTATTCAGGACGTATATTGCGAACCAAGTGTGTACACGTAGGGAGCTACTCATGATCAGGATGGGGTGGGATTAGGTTAAACAGAGGTTGATGATTGGTCACTGTTTGTACGGTCGCTGCACGCAGAGTTGTACGGCCGCACCTTCCAATCCTGGCGAGCAGACATGCAGGCATACGATGACGCGCAGAGCGATAACGTGTCCCACAGTTTCAAAATGAAGGAGATAGATTAACATTTGTTTAGACGTCACTACTACCAATATCATTAAAATTATAGATTCATTACTGGATTGTTGACAACTAGTACGCCTCCAGTGATACAATAAAATTATCGTTGTGATTACCTATGGATTTTCAATAATTAGCATTTTGCCCAATAAAATGGACAATTAGAACGTAACTTAACAAACGAGAAGATATGTAGTCTTTCGAATGCCTGTGTTTAGAAAGGCAAATTTCTGTTGAAACAAAATTCTATTTGAGAAACCTCAACAAACGTTTCCAGTTACTCAGTTTGGTTAATGAAATCTTCAAGAAAGATCCTTATTTACAAAATGCCGGATGGGAGACGGTTCAGTTCAGTTGTGCACAATGAAGGACTCTATTTTTTTGTCGATTACATTATGCGTACTTAGAGTAAAAGAAATGATTAATTAAACCATAATATGGAAATAGGTAGCAGTCATCCAGTCCACCAATTATAATGTTTCTCTGGCACTGGTGAAATTGTTTATACTAACCTCTATTTGATAGAATTACTCACGGGCTGGGGGGATGTGGCCGTGGGGCGTATAACTAGGCCTCCGAATCGCGGTCAATTAAGTCAGAGGTAAAATACCACAGATATATGCAAATCAGCACTAACTTGGTACGTGAATATCATTCGTTCAATTGAAGCAGAATTATAAATACTTTGGTAGAAGGAATTGTTACAACAGAGAGATGAAGGTCATTGGATGAGCCGTGCCTGTCACCGTCGCAAATTTATCCAAGCGACCGCACTGTTCCTACTGGCCTATTATCCACGTAAGATAAAGTGATTTGCTCAGTGAGGAAAAGTCAAGGAGGTGAAATACAGCTGCTTGAAAAGCTGTGCTGAACACAGAGAGAATAACCCGAGGATCGTGAGACACATATCAGAATGATGTGGGTCTAAAAATTAGACTGTATTTATTTATAACAAAAGGCAGGCTTTATGATAGTCATCATTTACCCTCTTGTTGGCTTTGAGCTTTGCAGAGCAGAGGGACATCAAACTGATAAAAATTCAATTAGGGAGGTGGAACAGAAGAGTGATTCACAGATGTAATAAAGGGACAAACACAAAAGTTTAGAAAGAAAGCTAGATGAGTACTGTGGAAGTGGTCGAATAAGATATAGAATCGGGCCATGATAGTTTGAAGTCAGATCTCAACTACCGATTTATTGACTTGTTTGCCGTATGGCTAAGCGTTCCTCAGGTTAAATCAAGTCTATCGCGCATCTCAAAAAGCCCTTACAATGGGACAGAATGTCAAGTGCCAAGAAAACGATCAACCAAGGCAGAAAAACGGAGCTAATGGAAATTCATCTATTTGGTACAGATGAGTTCCTTGGTGAAACGAAATGAAATCACACTGACTCACCGAAGTAAATACTTAAGACATTAAAGTTTTCATAACATCATTAAAATTATATAATAATTGCTTCTTTTTTTCATAAATATTTAAATAAGTGGATTAGTAAATATTCATATGATGAGAAGCATGGTGATTTTTGCATTGCCCATGAATTACTCATGATGAAACTAAATCATATGGGATAAATCATCTTAATCAAACCACCCCTAGTCCGATGCAACTCCAGCATTTGGCTTCAATGCCAAAATGCTGACCCGCCCTATCACAAATGAAGGAAATGAGTTGAGTGCAAACTGTGTGCATATAAATAGTCTGACTAACTTAATGTTTCCAAAAGAGTAAAATTGTACACAAATGTCGCTATTATCCATTCTCCTGCTTTTGAGCATCTCTGCCGCATTGAATCTTGACCGAGTGTACGAAGATGCGGAAGGAAATATCATTGAAGCATGCAAAAACGATCAATTATGTGCCAATAGTCCTTCGCGTAGTACTAAAAAAATGGACAAAGTTGGGGGTGTAGGTCGAGCCAAAAAGAAAGTAACAAAGGACTGTACTTGCGACTGCTTTCCTACGGTCAGCTATTACTGCATGCTGTGTCAGACAGATTCTTTCTCAGTTCCAACAAAGGCCGAAGTTCTTATTCGGGCTATGCCACACATTCCAATTGATTTAGCAGACACCCTCGTTTTTATGCAACCAGACACTGTTCGCTATGTAATTGAATCACATTATGACCTGGCCGCCTTAGTAACTGAAGCGCAACCGGACACTCTTGTATACATACTCTCCAGCGCTCCAAATTTCTCCAAGTATTTGTCGAAAATGTCGCCTCATGCCATCAATACTTTCCTTCACAAGATTCCTTACCCGTGCAAGTATCTGCAAAGCATTAAGAGAGTTTATGCGGAGAAAGTGGTATATAAAGTTCCGATATTTTGGGAATGTCTTTCGAAGACTGCAAATCCTACTCTAACTACCACTACGGAAGCGAACGAACTGACTTCCCAACCACCTGCTGATGTCGCTTACCATTTCGAAAAGGAGGAATGGGAGCAGATGACAGCTAATTGGCCTGACACCAAAAAATATCTTCGAAAGTAAACCCCTAGCTCTGAAATCCCTGCGTGTTACTTATCCCGACTTAATAAAATTTTTCACAAGTCTTAATAAAGATTCAAGTTTCCTCCTTAATGCCTTAAATCCAGACCAAATGAACTGCATGCAATCGCTTCTAATAATACCATGGTTCAAGCTTTTACCAATCTTTTCACTTAAGGATTAATTGTGTACCTTAATTTTGTTGTTTTTCGATGATAAACATCACTTTTGTTTTGCTAAATAGATTCTTGGTTACTAAATGAATTTAATCCAATTTTCCAAATAAATGATCTTGGCTATAGCATGGAGGAAATAGATTTCGGAATGAGTGTGGTGGTTTGATCTACGGATATCTATAATTAAATGTTTATCCTATCCTACCCAGGTGAATTTAAACCAGTTTTTTCCATTAGAAGTCGCGCAAATGAATTCATATTATTTAATTGGAATTTTTTATTTTTAAATTATGGTTAATGAACTTGCATTATCATCAATTTTGACTTAATATTTTTCCTTATATGAATGAATTTATTAAATTAATGGTGAAGTTTCTACTGCCTTTTATTTCCTTTGTGGCATTTTTTTTTGGTTGATTGGAAATTCAACGTAGAGTTCAGGGGTCCATTAACTCCCATATTTAGTAAAATTTCAAACATACCATATTGCCATATTTGTTTTCATTAAGCTTTCTTTTATTAATGCAACTAAAAGTTGGAATGTTGCTTAATATTTTCTATCCTAATATTGATAAACATTTCAAATTCGGTCAGGTTTGAACTCACTTATTGAAATTATGAAAGTTGCCTTGAACATTGTGGTTTAACCAGTCACATCGGATATTGGGGAATATTTTTATATTCGCTATAAACCTAGCAGTTTAACTTAGACTTCTTTCATAATTACTGTGGAATTTACGAAAAAAAATGTATTAGCTAGTAGAACAGAAAGTGTCGTAAATTGTTTTTTACACTAACCTCAGCCCTTACAACTTTAAAGATGGGAGTCACCTTGCCAATCATTCCTAAAAGGGACTGATCAATTCCGAATATTTTCAAATAGACTTTGGAAAAGTAAGATAAAGAAAATACATAAAAATTAAACATGTACCACTAGTCTTAACAAAAGCTACTATCAAATGTTGCTGCTACTCAAATGGCTTCGAGAACTCTTGACCCTCCCCCCCCCCTATGCTTTATCTGGTATCCTAAATATCCCCTCGAAGAAGAGACATAAGTATTACCTGGTCATATATCTGTAAATTCCCCAGGGTAGAATTTTTGGAACTGTCGCTGACACCATGCGATTATGTGCTTTTCCGCTTCATTTGAAAGCTTAAATCAACTGAATTTCCTTTTCTGCATTTCAATTTACTTCTACTTCTAATGACTTTCCTTCTTACATAAAAACGTATTAATATCCTGTATTTTTATGGCAAGTACTTTTTGGCAGTACAAGTTACATTCAGCATGGAATTATTTGCTCATTGTGCTAAAACGAACAAACACAATAATTTATTTATTTATACCAAATGGCAGGTGTCTTGATGGTTATCACTTGCACTTTAGTTGACCTCAGGCTTCATAGACAGGAGGAGGAACATCAAAGTGGTAAAATAATGGGAGGGGTGAGACACAGAAGAGTGATTCACACATTCTAAAGAGGCAGACAGATGCAGAGGTGGAAAAAAGGTAAATGAGTAATGTGTTAGTGGTGGAATATGAATTACAGTGGGGTTATGGTAGTTTGAAGTCAGAAGTCAACTGCCGGTTAATAGACTTTTTTGCGGTATGAGTATACGTTACCCAGGGTGCATCACGCGGAGGTAAGTCATTCACACATCCCTACGAACCCAATAAGTGTTTAAGGGAAGGGGTTTAAGCAAAATCTGATAATGGAGTCACAGAACCCGGAAAATCGAACTCCACTTGGTTTTTGAATTCCGATTTCTCTTATTGCTGCAGCTGTTGTCCTAATCCACTACAAGACAAAACTATTTTGGCAATTTTTTTATTTCTGCGTAGAGGGGGAGGGGGGAAGGAGAGAGAGCAAACGAAATCCAATTGAAGGTAGAATGAAGCCTACGGAAAACTGTCGAGCGCAAGGTCAACTTTTTGCGATCTTCAAGCTCAATATCCCAATCTTCCAGACTACATAAACTCCCAAAGTTAATTAGACCTAAAGCGTGCTGTGATACGAGAGTTAGTTAAAACGTTTTGAGACAAATTTCATAACGTATTTATTTAACAAGTGTTTACCTTCATTTTCCTACAAAGGATCCATTGTTGTTTATGCACCATTGAAACCACATTTCCAGATGGAAATTAGTTCATGGTAGAATTTTGTGGATTGTCTCTGGCGCCATGAAATTATATGCTTTTTGATTCATCTAAAGACGTAAACCGAATGCCTTCAAGTTTTTTTTGCAGTTTTGGAATCAAAAAATGTCTAAGGGAGCTAGGTCTGGATTGCATGGAAGATTTAGATCTAGGTTCCATATTCGGCAACACAGATACCAAAAGATGTCAAAGGAATTTCAGTTCTTTGGAACAGCTATTGCTCCTTCAACAATTTTAAAATAAACCGTGCCCACCATGAGCATTGAAATCGCTGGTACATGCGCAATTCCTAATTCATTGACAATTTCCTCAATGGTTACTCATCGGTGTTGTTCCACTATGTTCCGCATACAATAAAAATTTTCTTTATTTCTTGCCGTAATGAGTCCCGCTCCTCGTGGAACGTCACCCAATTGCACTCTTCCCTCTTACAAGCCATTTATCTAATCATGAGTGACTGCTCTACATAGTGCAGAGCCCTCTTAAGCCTGTTGCTAAGTTTCTAAACAGGATCTAAACAGGTTTCCAGCTCAGTTTGGGTAAAAATTTAATGCTGGCTCTGATCCCAAACTTGCCATCTGAAGGGATGAAAATTGCGAGCTATGTAACAGTGTGACCTGACAAAATCTTAACCTTTCATAGATAGTTTTATGTTATCATGGAAGCCCAAAAGACATTTTCGAGCATGTAAATCTTTGTTCTATCTAAAGGTATGGCATTTATCTGAGAACTTTTTGACTCACCCTTGAATGAAGTTCGAAATTATTTCCAATACTTCAGATTGGCAAGATGTTCACATTGAATTAGCACTCAAGAGTTATGATGAAGAGACATGGAGTCACATCTCCACATCGTATATAATAAGGTCACTTCCTTACATATTTTAATAACTAAGCGCCCATCGATCGTAGATTTTAACATGACGCAAGTGAAGAAACCCCAAAGGATAGAAGGGGAATGTCCGTTAGAAGATGAAATAAATTTAGTGGGGATAGGGTGGGGGGGGGGGGGGGGGGTAAACAGGTCAAACCTAAGGAAGCTTGGCATTTTAAAATTCGATATATTTTGAAAAATGTCAAAACACTTTTATGCTTCCTCGTGAGGTCGCTGATGTCGTTACTTTTATACTTGAACCACTGGTGGATCTGTGTACATAATTCATAGTTACAATAAAAGTGGCTCAGGCTGCAAGATGGTAGCTTCTGCGATATTTAGAAGTCAGACTACTTTTCAAAATTCTATTGATATACAACAATTCGGGACAAGCAGTGGTAGACAGAGAAGTGATATGTTAGTGGTATATAAGCTACATTTTTACCTGAGGTAGAAAACTATTATGTGCATGTATTAATTGTAGCAGCCATATTTGACCACTTTTAATTGGCACATGACGCATTTATGGCGTCAATGCTTAAGACGGTCAATCTGGAACTAATGTCAGCATCAGCGTCAGTTGAAAGAGATGTAATCGATTTTAAGAGGAGGATAAACATAAGTTAGGGTAATCAGATGTGCTGGGTCAGCCCAAAATGAAGTTCAGCTGACGAAGCAGATGACTTTTGCGCTTCATCAGGTCACGGGGGAATGATTGATATTGAAATAGGAAATTCAGGCCAGTTTGATTCATCCATACAAATTTCAATAATTTATTCGCACAAATGATTTATAAGAATAAAATAGGTTATTTTTCAAAAAATAAAAGAAGGAATTTATCGAAAATTGAAACACAAGTGTCGCACTGAAATAGTAATGGAACCCGTTTATTCCAATTACTATTTTCATCAAGTTAATCACTCACCATTTCAAAATGCTTGATTCTGGAAGAGTTAGTTTTATATCTACAAAGTCCAGGATCATAATATGCATCTATTACCTACGAAGTGATCCGATAGTTATTTAGCACAGTTTAAAAGAAACTTAAACATTAGATGGCATAGTAAATAAAGGCATATAAATAATCATTTGTACCCAAAGTAGTGAAAGAAAAATAGATTTTGAAGAGGCTGAGAACATGACCCACTAATTTAAGAATAATTAGGACGATAATTCAATAAAAATTCAAAAAAAGAAGCAGTTAAGTTTTCTGAATGTTTGAGAACTTTCTTAAACACCTATTCCTTATCCAATACGTACTTAACCATAGGCGTTAATTGACCAATTGGACTGGTGTTTGTGGGAAGACAGCCACCCAATCAGGTTTCACGTACACTATTTAGAGGATAAAAACGCAAAAAATGAGTGCACAGTTTTATTTGGCCATGAACTATCAATCTATAGTGGTTCTTTTTTTGATCTGCACTCAAACATTTTGCTCCGGCCGTACGTATTGGTATGCTCCAGGTAACGTAGAGATGGAAGTAAATTGGATCATCAGGGGACTTAACTCAAAGATGGGTAACTATTATTTCACAAGTATGGTGCTGTCATTACCCAACCTGAGTGAAGTTTTCTCGAGACTGAAACCATACATTATTTCGCGCATTTTTGAAAGGATCACATATCCAGATCGTCTTCTTTCTCAATTAGACGCAAACACTGCAAGAGCTGTCTTGAAAAATATGAACCCAAATATTTACATTGCAATTTGGCCTCATATTCCATACACCATACAACGATTAAGACTTTCATTAAACCTAAAGCCGATCTCAGATCATGATATTATGCAAAAAGTTATCCGTTCCAATCTACTGGATTTTCCAATTTCATATGCCGATGGTCTCTACGGCCTTGATGTGATAAGCCTGCATAAAGTGATTAGAAACCACACAGATTTCGCCGCTTTGCTTTGTCGCACGAAACCGGAGACTTTTAATTATATTCTGTCAAATGCGCCCTTTATAACGGAATATATAGTGAACATGACAGCTGGAGAACAAGCGCAAATTCTTTCCAAGATGGGCTATCCATGCGTGTACCTTCAAAACATCAATTTGGAATACGCCAGGAAAATAATTAAAAATTTACCAGATTATGCTGGTTGTGTGCACTTCCCTGAAACCATTGTTCGCACAACCACCACGTATGCCCCAAAAATAAGAGCGGAGCAAACACCTTGGCAACCCATACGAGTTGAAAGTGTGTTCACAAAGGAGGAACTTGAAAAAATGTCCGAAAAGGTGCCGAAAATAAGGGAAATCCTTTCAAAAATAAATCCAAAGACAATCAAATTAATGCGATCTTATTTCCCCGATTTTATGAATTTATTTAATTCATTCGACGATAACTTCATCAAGGCTCTCAATACTATTGATTTTGCTAGTATGACGCCGAAGGCACGGAGTGAACTAATTTTGTCTATGGCCAAAAAGAATATTGCTGTGAAGGTATTTGGTACTATAATGGCACCTTAATATTTTTGTTCCTAGTCGTGTTATGAATACGTGTGCAAATAAAATACGCTTTTAAATAAATGCTTAATGGAAATTACTTCTGGACTTTTTAACTACCATGCTTCCGATATTATAGTGTCTATGAATGACGATTCAGTGGATGTCCATAGCAGCTTACTTGTCAAAGTGAATTTTTTTGACTAGGGTAGAACCAGTTAGGAATGCGAATTTTTCACCCACAAGGGAAACGAACCTCTAATTTTGTGCGTTAGAATCAGGCCGATTTTCATCAATGCGTCATAACCACAGGTTTCTTGTCCTTATAATCGAATAAAGGCCGTTCTTGATAGCCTCCTTGGGTTCGGTGACCTCAGCTCCCCAAAACGGAATATATTTAAGGTCATGATTAATTATTCGTGAGTAGGAATTTATATCTATTCATATTAAGTAGGTAATTTGTTCTAATAGCCAGTGAGTGAAAATGGCAAAATTTTTTGTAGTTATTGCTTTCTTATTATATAATGGAACGTTAACAAAGATGCGGGGCAAAATTGTGTAAAATTTATAGGCTTACAATGGAACAGTACCGGTTGGTGGGACATGAAGATTCTGAGAGCAATATCAATTACTTATCTCATTTAAGTAGCTCACTTTTCCAAATTCAAAAGCTTTCAAAACTTAAACAATGGTGAAAGAAAGCAAAACACAAGCTCTAGTTGGTAGAAAAAACTCATAGCAGTCCAAACCGAATTAAAAGAGACTCATTTTAGTTCATATGAATATAAAAGCAGGAGTTGATTGCTTAGTCAATATAGTGCGAATAGAACGATGGCATAAAATGAAATAATAATTTCCTCAGAGAAAAAAATTCTTAATACTTAATTGGATTTTCACCCTAATAGAGTGTACTAAAGCGTCCCTTGCATTTATGCAAAGTCTTACCGACTGTTTACATTTCCCCTTAGTTGGTTTGTTCAACACGTTAGAGTCTGTTAGCACTTAACTTCATCTTCCTTATCAACGGCTGGAGATTCAAAATGATCCTACGGGAACTTTTCTATATTCTTAGTTAGGAGGCAGTGAAATATATTAGGATGGGGGAGGGGGGGGGGGGGGGGGGGGGGGTGGAAGACGTATTTGGAACGACTGATATGGGATAAGCTATATGGAATAGTGGACGAAATCGACCATTAACACGAAATAGAATTTATCATCGAAGGTAAGGGGAGGAAGGCGATATGTCATTTAAGGTCAATAGTCAGACGGAAGATCTCAGTTTGGTATCTAATGTAAGGGAGCATTTTGGGAACTATCTGCGCCATTCTGTTTATCATTTACTTTAATCAAACTCTAATCATTTAATGTGATTAATCAAGATTGCCACTAGTTTTTGCCTTACTATGAGAACGCAGTGAAAAAATGCTAAATTACACTTGTCTAAAGCATAAGAAAATTAGTGAAACTTTCCTTAACGTCAACACTTCATAGCACTGCTTTGGCAATATTGCATCGAATAGTTACTTGTATCAAATGGTAGGCTTTATGATAGTTATCATTGGCCCTTTAGTGGACTTCTGGCTTCATAGAGGTGAGGAGCATCAAAGTCGCCACAAGTCGAGATGGGGAACCAAAGTGAGATTCTTATATGTAACAGAGACAAGCATACACAAAGGAAGAGAAAAGGTAAGATGATTACTAGGGAGGTGGTCGAATATGACATAGAGTCGGGTCATTTTAGTTTGAAGTCAGAAGTCAACTGCAAATATGAGTATACGTTGCTCAGGGTGTCCCAAGTGGAGATAAGTTTATCGAGCATCCTCTCAAATCGAATAAGATTGTGAATTTCTTATTTCTGGATGTATTTTCCAGCTGATTTTGTTAACAGAAAAAAGCTTTATTGACGCAAACGGATGGATATACCATTATCATCTTCATTACCCCTTAATAAGGCTGCACAATCAATGTGAATATTTAACAAATGGGCTTAATTTATTAGCTTTGATTTGCTCTCCCCTTGCCTAATATTTGAAGAAAAAACTGACAAGATTCATACCACTGTTATTGTTAAGATGAGTAAAATTTGTCCCATAGGTAAAAAGAGAGTTTATACTTCAAATACATTTCCGATTTGGCATCGTTATTTAGCAGTTGAGGAGGCTTGAGTGCAGGAATAATAAACAAATGTGATTTGGCAAATGGTTTTTGCACATCGCTTGCACTTTAGTCAATGGATTTATTTGAATGCACTGAGGCACGATGTTCACTTCTCGATCAGCCTTAAACTCCATTAGTTATAGCAGACCAAGTTCATCCCTCATGTGTTCGAAGACGTCAACTTCAACAGATGACCCTTCGAAGTCACCCTTTTAATTATTACAAATGCTGATACCGTTAGAAACCATGGAAACACTAAAATAAATGCTAGCTTTTATTTTATAGACGGATTACAAAAATATTACAATATAGTGGTTATCAAATAGCCTCGAATGAATATTCAATATCACGAGAATCACGGCATTTAATTTCTGGAGTGGTTTATTTGCCGTGTTCGTCAGAATGAGTATTTATTTATTTCAAATGGCAGGCTTTGTGATATTTATCATTAGCCCTTAAAATCAAATGCCGAGTGATAGACTTTTTGCCGTACGAAGATATGTTGTCCAGGGTGCACCACGTGGAGGTAAGTCTATCGCGCACCCCTGTCAAAATGAGAAAAAAACACTTCACTAAAATCTAAGCTCAGACCCAACTGCCATACTTTGACTCCACATATTCTGAGTGAACCTATGTCTACGATAGTCAGAACCATGTGACAATTCGATCAGTTCATTTGTCATTTGTTTCTAAATTAGCTGAGGTCCATGAAAACGAAACGGTAATTCGGTGGGTCTCATCTCTTAGAATGGAATAAGTTGGTTAAGTCGAATTTTTATAAGCTGTTAAGGAAGATTTTGAGAACCGGATCGGTAACCGTAGCCTGTGAATTGAAATTGATTCAATCCTGCGGAGAAATAAAATATCAGTTGGAATACTTAAATCAATGTATTGCACATAAGGGTATGATCAATCATACAAATGACTGATGATATTGACTCAAACGCTCGTGGAGATGAGATCGTCATACGGGTACATTCTGATTGGACTGAGACCGCTGACTATGGGGAGTGCTTATCCCCCTAAAGTTATTTGACTGCGGTTTTTGTAGAAAATCCCATCATGCGGTTCTAATCAGGCGCTCAATATGGAACTTTCATTACATCAAATAATTGAAGTATCGATTCCGATATTGTACTCATGAAACCGCTCATTACTTTCATTAGTTCATGTACAACGTTGTTGTATCCTGAAATTACCTAATCCTGTTAATTTAAAGGTCTTATGCTATTGGTATCAATGATTAGTCATTAATGCGACAACCAACCAACTTCCCTTAAATCTTTAAGCTCGTTTCGATTCAAGTTGATATTTTATGCATGACGTTGCTATTCTTGACTCCTTAAAGCATATTTTGTCATTGCAATTTGCCTTCTGTTACGTTCTTTTGAAATAAAATGCATATTGTTTATTACGTCACATATTCTTACTTAAGTGTTCATGATCAGCCGAGAGCACAGAGCTCATGCTATAATTCTGCTTAGGGGGTGTGCGATAGACTTACCTCCACGTGGTGCACCCTGGGCACCGTATTCTCATACGGCAAAAAAAGTCTATAAACCGGCTGTTGACTTCTGACTTCAAACTACCATCACCCCACTGTATGCTATATTCGACCACTTCCACATTCATCACCTCACCTTTTCTCTGCCTTTGTGTCTGTCTCTTTTACAACTGTAAACCACTCTTCTGTTCCCTACCCATCGACATTCTGCTACTTTGACGTTCCTTCCCTCTGTGAAGCCCGAAGTCAGCTAAATGACTAATGATAACTATCAAAACGCCTGTCATTTGAAATAAATAAATAATTCTGCTTAGAAATGGACAAATGAATTTTCTGAGCAACAAGGTGCAGCCTTGAAATGAAAGAACAAGGGTCGATGTGAAAGAAAGTTGGAGTGCAAATGCATCATAATGCCTATTATACACTAATCAACACGCCTGCATGGGCAGTGATCCTGGGTAGGCATTTCAACTGGGGATTGATGGATGCACCTTTTAAGTGATTGGGACAAAGTGAAGTCAGCAAGACCGCAGGAAGAATAGAAAGCCATCGCACCTAATTCAATTATGAATGTGTTAAAAATGAAAAATAAATGTTTCACGCTTGTGCAATATAAATATAAATATAAACGTACTTATAGATGTACGAAAAATATGAGGACGCCTTTTGTAATGGCAGCAATTAAAGATTAATTCAGAGATGGACCGAATTTTTTAATCGGTGAATTTATTCCTATTAAATATTTATAAGTAGGTGAATTTTTAAGACTACTTGGAGTCACTTAATATAATACAGCATGCGCCACCAAAGCCACGCTCTTTTTGGAAAACCAAATGTGAAAAATAAACGGAGTTACCTGTGTGCAAGTGTCAATATTAAATTTAATAATGATGCTCAACCAACAAGGACTATTTGCAAATTTTCAAAGGATTTAAAACAAATTGTTTTGAAGCCGTCTTAAGTTTTTCATTTCGAATAATTAACTTCATGGGGTGTGCGATAGACTTACCTCCACGTGGTGTACTCTGGGCAACGTATACTCATACGGCAAAAAGTCTATTAACGAGCAGTTGACTTCTGACTTCAAACTACCACGTCCCCACTGTGTGTCATATTCGACCCCTTCCCCTGTACCCACCTTACCTTTTTCTCTACCTTTGTGTCTGTCTGCCTCTTTT